GGGAGCGGCTCCCGGCCTCGGGCGCCGGCCGCGGGGAAGATGGCGGACCCGGCCGAGTGCAACATCAAAGTGATGTGTCGCTTCAGACCCCTCAACGAGTCGGAGGTGAACCGCGGCGACAAGTACGTCGCCAAGTTCCAGGGCGAGGACACGGTCATGATCGCGGTGAGTGGCTCCTGCACCGACCTCGCGTCCCGCTCTTGCGGGCCTGCCCGGGCGGGCGGTGAGCGACGGGGCGGGTGCGGGGCCGAGAGGGAGCCGCGGGGTCCCGGCCCTTCCCGCGGGCGCCCGGAGCTCCCCCGCTCTGCGGCGGCGCGGGTCTCGCTGGGACCCTCCCCCGCCCGGGGCGCTGGGAGCACCTCCGGGAGCCGCGGTCCGGTCTGGTCGCCGGGGCGTGTGTGCGCGCTGGAACTGTTGCTGATGCTGCCTGTGTTCTGGACTACTCCCAGATTTATCATTCATTAAAGCTCTAATTTAGACCGTCGAGCTGCGAGACCAGCTCTTCTGTACTTTAAGTAGTTTGTTATATCGACAGGAAATACAAAACAAGCTCGTGAAAAAGGTAAAACTTGACCATTATTAGCTTCCCACTTGTACAGGTAAGGTTTAGTTAGTAATCCCAGGATAGAGAAATGTTGGTCCTTTATAGTGTGATACTTACCCAGAATTGGCACATCATTTGAGAGACCAGAAAGTGAGGATTTTTTTGATATCTGCTCTCTGCTATTGAAAGGTCTTTGAAAATACCGTTCTCAGTTCAATGAGACTAAAAATAAATAGTAAGATACTGCATACAGAACTGTGACTAAGTGTGAAATTCCTCTTTACCGGTTATGTGATGCAATTTTCTACATTATTATCGGGGCACAAAATTTTAGTATGTTAATTTGTGTTGTAATGAAATTTTATATTAGTTTGTTGGGGCTGCTTAATTTGGAAATGGGACAGGGAAGTCACAGCGGATGGGACACTGATGATGGCGAGCACTGGCATACAAGACAGGACTCAAAGTCTTTACAGTGGTAGTGCGACACTTTCCAAAGTTCACGTCTAGAAAATGAATGTGTTAGCTCCACATTCTCTTGATAGGCTTTGGCAAAAAACCATTAGGTCATTAATAACTGTCAGCTACTGTGTGAAGTCTCTCTGGCCGGTTCTTTGTTAACCAGTCCTCCAGAGAAATTCTTCCTGTAAATGACATCATAGCAAGGTGAAGTTAAGCATAGTGATCCTTTTCCTTTGGGGAGAGTGTGTTATACGTGGAATCAGTGGAAGCTTGCAACAACTAGTTTAGTTGTCAAACTTGAGACTGTTAGTTTCTTAAGAGTTTTAGTGATGATTCAGCTTTAGCAACAGCTAAAGCCGTGTTTTTCATCATACACTAGTAAGGTTTTCTTATTTCTCCAGGTTTTTGTGTGCATTTAAACAAATCTGTAAATATCACTAAGATTCTTTTTGTTGAAATGATGCAAATAAGACATAAAGTATGAAAGATAATTTCTTTAGTAATCGAAATAAATTTAGTTTACAATGTTAAAAATAATGGATAGGTGAATCAATAATGAATAGTTGACCTTTGCTATAAACTTGTATTTTAGTCTGGTGTTTACAAATAGTATAAGGAAAAATACATTATAACCGAGTGACCTAGCCTTTAAAATGTGTTTAGTTCTTTTTTTTTTTTTTGTCTTTTTTGGGACAGGGTCTTGCTATGCAGTTCAGGCTGGCCTTGAGCTCACTTTGTAGCCCAGGCTGGTCTCGAACTCACAACAATCCTCCTGCCTCAGCCTCCCAAGTGCTGGGATTACAGGCGTGCTTGTTTAGTTCTTGAGAACATGTTTAATCCGTTATTTTGAGGAACTAAGCTACATAAATTATGCTGGGGTCTTGTATTTTTCTTTTTTAATGAATTGTATTTTGAAAGGTTCCGAATTGATAAGGACAGTAGAAGGAACAAAATTAGAAAGTCTCTGGAAATTTTTCATTCATGTTTCTGCATCAGCTGATACAGAATAAATTGTTTAGGAGAGAATTGCAGCAATGCAGCATTGAAAACCAAGTTATCTGAAACACAATTTAAAAACGTGTATTGTATGTGGTCTTCTAGTTAAATAAAAATTTAAAACATAGCTTATGTTACTATATTATTAGTATAATCAGTGCTTGTGGAGAAAAGAATTTAAGGATTCCAATTTTCTTCTGGGTTCAGTTTTTAATACATTGTCAGTTTTCTTTCCTGTTACTCATACAGGCTGAGATTTTAATATAGGACCCACGGAGGGCAAGCTTTTTGATTTTGTTTCTTTGTGTGTTGTGCAGCTTTTAATTTATTTGTCATTTAAGTGCTTGGTATAGTGCTGTATCACAATGAATGAAATTTAATGAATATCTTTAAATGATAAAAATAGAATGTATTTTCTTTAAACTAGACAGCTTTATTAAGCGCAAAAGGGGAGGAAAGAGAAATAACTTACCATGTTCATTTGGGTTTACTGGCAACATGAAAAAAAGTTGCTTCTGTATCTACTTAGGCATCATAAAAATAGAATACTTTCATTTTTCTGATTAAGTATCTTTGCTAATCTTGTTCCTTACATGGTGTACTGAAAGGCTGCCAAAACCAAAAAGAGGCTGCTACAGTGCACTGAAATTAGAGGAGAGTAAAATTAATTGGATTATCTTGCCCATTTCCTTGCCTGAAGCAAAACATACTACCCTTTCAAGTCCGTAATTTAGTGTTTTAACATTCATTACCTTGAGTGAAAAGTGAAAATACAAGGAGCCATCATCGCATACCTTTATAATTGTGGAATGTTAGTTTGCAACCATCGTCTAACTATGGAAAATCTAATATGATACAGTCCTGTGGATCCAGAAAGCTCACTATTCAGGATTTCAGACAAAAGCATATCCCTGCCAGAAGGGTGTCCTTCATTATCAAATTTGGTGTTCAGTCTGGTATGTCCAGACTCAAAACAGGATCACTTTCACTTAAGAAATCTAAGGTATGATTGCAGTTGAGGTAAACTTTATTCCTATTTGATCTGTTCCCTTGAAGCCTAAGTCAGACCTGAATGCATCTTGTGACTTACAGTTTGTAAAACTTAGTAACTTTGAAAGTACATAGAATTATAGGCTGCATAATGTGTATTTCAAGAATCAAGTATTTAAAATAGAGATATTCTGAGATTTAGTTTTCCTTTGTTTATTTTATTTATTTATTTATTTATTTATTTTATTTTGTCTTTGAGGCAAAGTTTCATTATGCAGATCAGGCTGGCCTCGAACTTGCAATGATCCTCCTGCCTTTTGCCTCTGTAGTGCTAGGATTACAGGCGTGTGTGCTACCATGTCCTGCTTTTTAATTACTTTGAAAGATTGAGTTACACCTTAATTTTAGACCATTAGAAATTTTGTTTCACAGAATTTTGATTTTCATCCCAGGAAGCCAGAAGCAGTTAGAAACTAGATCTTCTGGGGCTGGGGATTTAGCTCAGCGGCAGAGCGCCTGCCTGGCAAGCGCAAGGTCGTGAGTTCGGTTCCCGGTACCAGAGAAAAACCAAAAAAAAAACAAAAAAACAAAAAAACAAAAAAAAACAGAGTAGCCAAAACTGTGGTTCTAGACTCATGGCCACCATCAGAACAGATGTGGCACAAGTGCTGAAATACCCGAGATGG